GAAAGAAAAATTGATTTATCACTAATGATAGATTTTTGTATTGCTAATTTAACATTGTATGAAAGGAAACAGTAGTATCAAACTGAAATGAAGAGGATAAAAGGACAGAGAACATTGATAAGAGATACCACTCTTTGAAAAAAACAGCTCAATTTTCAGCAGCAGGAAATCCTTTTACCTGCCTGTGTACCTGACCTATTTTATAACAGACTCTTTCCAACTTCCTCTTTGATTTTCACACTTCTACATTTCTCTTAAATTATGAAGTCTGGATCAACATGTTCTGCCATTGTATTTTTTCCCCCTATTTTCAGTAGTAGTATAAAATAAGTTCCACAAATGTTATACTTTTTTTTTCTTTCACTGATACAACTATAAACTCTCAGAAATTGAAAATAGTCTTAGATTTATAAAGGAGTCACGTGACTACTTACTTTAGTTTTATGAGTCGTTTGATGACCACAACTTTTGAAATACCTTGGAATAAAAGGATCGCATCAGTGAAATTTGCATTAAGTGTGACTTAGGGTTTTTAATTGTCTTCTCTTTTATATTTTAAACAGAGGTGTTTAAAATTACTTTGGTCCTTCAGTTTTCCTGGTATGTTTTCTTTCTTTTGACCTCATGCATGCTACTTTTTCTCCTAAATTTTATTTATTTTGTTCTTCTTGAGAATATACACAGTAAACCATACACCAATCCATAATTCTACATGTACAGTTTAGTGACATTGGTTACATTCTTCGAGTTGTACAACCATTCTCATCCTCCCTTTCTGAGGTGTTCTTCTCCTGTTAATATGAACTCACTGCCCCCTCAGGTTTCAATTTAATCTTTCAAGTTGCTGTTGTCAGTTTCATCCCATATAGATAGTTCTTAAAAGAGCATAATGCTCAAGGCAGAGGTTTTTTTCTTTTTTTTTTTTTTAGTAGCTAAGCTAAATTGTTGCTCAGTTTTAAGAAGACTTCAGCAGGTATTTTGGTTTAAGATTTAAAGATTATATCAGGGCAATAGTTTCAAGGGTTTATTTAGCCTCCATGGCTCTAGAAAGTCTAGAGTCCATGAGAATTTGAAATTGTGGTCTTCATTTTCCCCCTTTTGATCCGGATTCTACACATGCTTTTAATTTATAAGTAGTTTTAAGCACCTGCAATATACAGAACATGTATTTTTGTCAATTCAGGATATAATCCTTGTTTATCCATCCTGTCTCTTCCTGGGAACCCCTCAGGACTGGTTGGAATGGGTTATCAATGACAATTCCCTGTGTTTATATTAGAAAATATGTGACTTGAGGATATATTGCAGAACTAGTTTCTAGATGAACCAGTGTTTATTTTATTACTTTTGGAGACTGATTTTAAAAAAATGGAATTTGGAATTTTTTTTTTTTAGCTTAAACTTATGAGCACCCACGTAAACATTTGACTTAGAAAATGTATTTTTATTATAAGATAGAGAACCAATTACCAAGTTGTGTGATACTTTCTGAATGTATCTCCAACATTACATACTTGTTTCTTCTGAAGTGAAAAAAAGAAGTAAAAGGGAACATCTTGATTTTTGTTTTAGTTGTTAAAATAAATCTTGATCCTTAGGATTTGATTTTTAGAAGACATAACACTTACATGCCTGTTTCCTCCCCACAAAAACCCCAACTTTTTTTTTTTTTTTAAAGTCTTTATGGAAAAATTGATTCTGCTTTGAAATTTTGGATGCTTTATATTTGAAGAGTGAATTTATAATATTCAGCATTTTTTTTTCTTATTTACTTGAGGTGTTTCCTTGAACTTGGAGTAGGCATAGATGACTTAACATTCTAATAAAATTATAAAGGTTTAAAATGGAAATATCTCGAGAACAAGTTTAGATAAATTCACGGTAAGGTTTTAGAGGTTATTTAGAGACGCTAATGATATTGGTAGGAGCTCTGGTAGCATAGTGCCTAAGGCATTTGACTGCTAACCAGAAGCCTAATGGTTCAAACCCACCAGCCGCTCCTCGGAAGGAAGGTTGGGCAATCTACTTACGTAGTGATACTGCCTGGGAAACCCAAGGAGGGGTCGCTATGAGTGGGGTCCGACTCCACGGCACATAACAACAACAATGATATTGGTCGAGGGGGCAGTGGAGGTACAGTGGTAGAATTCTTGTCTTCCCTGTGGGAGCCCCAGGTTTGATTCGCCGCTGGTGTACCCCGAGCACAGCCACCACCAGGCTGTCATTGGAGGCCTGTGTGTTGATGTTGAACAGGTTTCAGCACAGCTTGTAGACTATGACAGACTAGAAACAAAGACCTGGCAATCTGCTTCAAAAACATCCTCTGTTCCTCAACCGAGTTAAATTACTTAAATCCATATAACATCCCATATCTAATGGATGAAATAAGATACAGTAATGACACTTTAAAAATAGATGCTTTCATTATCCTGGCAAAAACATTACATTAGTCCATTTATATTTACTGCTCATAGAGCTGACTGAAACACATCTAGAAGTAAATGACCTGTTAATTTTTTTAAAAAAATGTTTTGGGGCAAATTGGCAGAGTAAAAAAAAAGAACATTAATTTTCGTGTTGAAATCCTAGATTTAGATCCTGATTTTGCCCTTCTTAGTAATGTGACCTTGGGTAAATTAGTCAACCTCTCTGGGCTGTAGTTTCCTCATTTGTAAAATGAGATGGGGCAGTGGTAAACCTACAGGAGTAAATGAGATAATGCTGATAAAATGACTTTCATTTAATAGGTTTCCAATCAATACTCATCTTTCCCTCTCCCTCCCTACTCCTATATTTCCTTTCCTCTTTTTTATTGTCTCAGCCATGGGAAAGTATAGCCAACGAGACTTAAAACTACGTATACTCAGTAACAAATGATGTGTGTCTTAAACAGATTTTAGGAACTTCCATGGTCTGGGTTGAAAAGAAAACCCATTCACTAGACTTGACAGCCAAAGACCTGTTCTACATTAAGCCTTGTATATAACCTGTTCCATATTAAGCTTTGAAAAGATTGCATTAAACTTTGTATTGCTACATACTGTCTTAAGATTTGTGTTTTGATTTAATACCCTCGGCTTTCAGAAAGGGGAAAAGAGTCTGACCAGTAAACATAGCAAAACAAAACGAGCTTTTTAAAGGTCTGTTAGAGGAGCAGACTAAATGAGGGCTCTGGCCTGAGATTGCTGAATGTTTTATTGAGTCACTGTTTCACGCCCACCTTTTCCTGTCTTGTAACAGTTTGCAGTTTGGACTATCTGACTTGACTAACCGTTGCAAATCTAACTGATTACAACTGTCAGTGAGTCTGTGTGAGAGAGTCTGGTATCTTCTGGAGAAAGCAAACATCCAAATCTGCTATCATACTTTTCTGTGCTTCCCTCTGCTCCCCCCTCCAGTGTTCATTGCCTTTAGATCATTAATTTGAAATATCAGATGTAATATTCCAAGAAGCATACTCTTCTGGTAAAAGTAAAAATGCATGTTTATATTGGGAGATATCATGTACATTTAGCAAAAAGTAAGTCGCTGTCAGAGAGTTCTTTTAAGATTTACCAGTAGGGATGTATGTTAGAGGAGGGGTGAGCAGGGAGGAAAAAACTTTGTTCCAGTAATGATGAAATCATCATCATACCACAGGCACATTAAGGCCAGGACAGGAGACACTGGCTCCTGTTAAAATGATTCCCATAAGAACTTTGCTCTTTCATCTTCTTATTGTAGTGCAGTTAAGCAAATGAAATGCTAAAGCCATGTGAAGTAAATAATATAATCAACAGGGATGTACTATTGTTCTCTCATGAGGTCATGACCTAAACCTAAATAAAAACTTCTAAAATTATCTGTGGTTGGAAGTGTTCCTGATGTTGGAGAAAACTGAAAGGCAGGGCTTTGAACCGGTTCATTCTGGTTCGACTCCTTGCTGAGAATTTGCATTTCCACCTCAGATATACTGAACAAGAATCTACATTTTAACAAGATCCTGGGAATCTTGTAAGACTCACCTGGAGATCTTGTTAAAATGTAGATTCTATAATTTAATGTATCTGGGGTAGAAATGCAAATTCTCAGCAGGAGTCAAATTGGAATGCCCTGCTGAAAGGAAGAGAGCACTCCCCAAGAGGACTGTAGTTTTTGTTTTCATTACAGCTGCTGCTACTGAACAGCTTTTTTTGGGGGGTGGGGGGGATTGGAGCCTTTTCACTTTAGTACTACTATGAGTCAGGAGCTCTGGTAGCATAGTGCCTAAGGCACTTGACTGCTAACCAGAAGGCTGGTAGTTCAAACCCACCAGCCACTCCTCAGAAGGAAGGTTGGGCAATCTACTTCTGTAGTGATACTGCCTCAGAAACCCAAGGAGGGGTCGCTATGAGTCGATCCGACTCGACAGCACATAACAACACTGCTATGAGTCGGGTCTGGCTCCACGGCACACAACAACAACAACACTGCAATGAGTATGAACTTAACATTCAGTGCATTTAGTAACTGTCTAAACTGGCCATCAGGTGGTTTGCAATTAGAATAGAGAGTTCTGAGTTGTCTTTGTTTCATTGCCTCCTCAGAGAAGCTTAAATGAAGTTTGGACATCTGTGTTACTGTATTATCAATACTATTTATATTCACAGTGGATTTTTCTCCTTTTACATCTACAGGAAAGAGTTTCACCTTGACCATAACTGTCTTCACAAATCCTCCCCAAGTAGCAACCTATCATAGAGCTATTAAAGTTACAGTGGATGGACCCCGGGAACCTAGAAGTAAGTACTTTCCTTCCTACTGGAAATAGTAATAGAGTTTGCTGAGACCCTATGTGGGATTTATTTCAAATGAGTTAGTGTTATTGTCATATAAATAGTTTTCTTGGCCAAGTTTGCTAAATACATGTAATTGTAGTGAGAGGCAATTAGTAGAGCTTCATAGTAGAAAATGAAATTACAGGCAGTCCTGGGTTACGAACGAGATCCATTCCTAAGTGTGTATTTTAGTTGAATTTGTAGGTAAGTCAGAATAGGTGCATATGGTTTTTATTTAGCCTTACATTAGTGCAAGAAAAGGCTGGAAGCCTTTTCAATGATTTAAAAGCTGCAGTGCAGCAAGTAAAGGTGATTGTGATGAAGAATTGTTGCATGTAGGGGTTAATTCAATTGTTTCAAAGTGAGGGCAAATTTACATAACATTAAAGGGCAAATACATGTTGAATTTTCTGCAAGTCTGATGTTTGTAACCCAGACGTTCGTAAGCCGGGGATTTACTGTGCAGCTTTAACCTTTGCCACAAGCTTGCTAAGCCCTCCATTACTTTGGGGAACTAGTGAATAAATTATTCAGACACTGTAACTCTTTATTAAGAAATTCTGCTCATCCACTGTACACAATAGACAGGGCCAAATAGACCCATGAGAACTAAAGAGGAAAACAATAAACTTAGAAATCTTGAACTTAGTTAAAAAGCATTTGCCTGTGTTTCCCATGGCCTAAGAATATGTTTTAACTCTTTAACTCGCCCACTCAATTCCCTTTATAAAGAGCACACTGCTTAATTACAAAGAATTTATTTGCAAATGATAACTTGCTTGATTGTTACAACATTGTTGTTTGGTCATGTTCCAGTAATTGTTATAGTCTGTTTTAACAAATATAGGCAAACTAGGTTTAGCCCATCTTGGTTTATTTGTGTCTCTGGATATCCAGAAGGTTTAACTGGCAGTTAGTTTAAGGCAGTGTACATAATCCTTTTGCATCAATATACATTTTTCCTTCTAAATCTAAAGTTTCCTTCTAAACTGAAACACTTTTGCTCTCATCTCCCCCCAAGTGATTTGAATAAACTCAGCACAGCAGCATTTAGATATATTTAGAGATTAAAGATTATTCAATATGTAAACCACATTTTAAAAATTGTGCCAGTGGCTTTCTGAAAGGTGTTTCGCAGAAAAAATATTGGGTCTCTCGGTATTGTAAATACAAATACTTTCAGAATAGAAAAGAAGTTGCCTAGAAAAAAATTGTGCCAATAGAAATGTCATACAGAACTCTGTCTTTGATGAGTGAATACACTGGAGTCCTACCTGTTGCATTTAGGGAGTTTGATTTGTGGTGGAGGTAGAGCCAGGAGAAGTATTTGTCATCTAACAGCACACCTGCCTAGACAGTGAGAGTGGCGTATCTTTTCTTCCCCTGAAATGAGAGAAGAGGTCTGATAAGGTTTGCCCCCACCTAAACAGCATCATCTCTCTTAGCAGCGGGAACATATAGATGTTCCTGATCCTCTAGCCGCTGCCTCTTTTCACAAATGCTGACCACTTGCGTGAACTAGGGAGGCTTCTTGCCTCAAAAGCAAATCTTTGAGGTTTTTGTTTTCTCCTCCTTTAGTGTGTATGGAGTTCTTCCAGGTACACAACGCTGGATCATTCATTTGTCTGTTCTGTTTGGGGATGTCCCATTCAGTGGTTGCTGTACACATCTCTGTGAGCCCCAATTCTCCAGTCCTAAGGGAGAATGGTTCTGCAGGGCAGGTGAATAGACGACAGTTGGTCTATCTTACGGGTTTAGGGGCTTTGCCTGACTTTTCTGAATTACCATAAAGTGAGGGTGGTGCTTTATGATGGAAGACATCTAACCTTTTTATCTTTTATCTAGTTCTTGAGTTCCTGAAAGGCAGGGAGGGACCTCCATTTTTGTAGTGTATAAAGCAAGATAGTCTTTTAATATTTAGCACCACATAATACTTGTCTTTTAAAGATGTTTCCTGCTTTCTTCAGTTCTTGGAAAAACCATTGTTAATGGTGTGTGTGCACACTAAAGAGTTGGTGCTCAGAAGCTGATGATTGGGAGAAGAAACCCAAAAGGCAGGGTATTGCTCCATCCAGAAAGGAATGACAGAAGGTGAGGAGGCAGGGTAGCTTTGGGAAAGTTGCTTGTTTCAGGTGAGGACAGCATTCCTCATTTCTGGAAGGTTTTTGACAGAAGTGATTAGTTGACAGGCTCATTGTTCTGTACATTAGAGACATGCTCCAAGAGTAATGAGGGCTAGGGGTAGAGGGGAAGATGGGTTCAGGCTTTGGGTGGTGCTGAGGGTGCAGAGGGTAGGGGAGGGGCAAGCTGCTATAGAGCTGTGTGTGGCAAACCTAGATCAGCCTGAGTGATGTTTCTTAGACACCAAAAATATCCTTGAAAATTTATTGAAAATTTACTGACACCATGAGGTGACAAACTCAGTATATGAATATAAGGATGGATCTGCTACCAGTAACATCTCAATCCTATGACCTAGATTTTCTAAACTAGATTATTTCCTTCTGCCCTGATCTTGGCCAACATTGAATGTGTGTATTACAGCACTACAGCACTCTTTTCAATACTACTATTTAATTTTGAGACTCCCAGGTTTGGGAAATGCACAGGATTTGCTATTTTCTTCAACAGTGACTTTCAACAATAGGATTTTGATTGAGTGTTTATCTATTGTTAAATAAAGGATCCTTTATAATAGGTGTAGGCAAACTTTTTCTGTAAAGTGCCTGATGGGAAATAATTTAGTTCTTGAGTTCCTGAAAGGCAGAGACCTCCATTTTTGTAGTATATAAAACAAGGTAGTCTTTTAATATTTTTTGTTGTTGTTATGTGCCATCGAGTCGGACCCGACTCATAGCGACCCCTCCTTGGGTTTCCAAGGCAATATCACTACGGAAGTAGATTGCCCCATCTTCCTTCCGAGCAGTGGCTGGTGGGTTTGAACCGCCAACCTTCTAGTTAGCAGTCAAGTGCCTTAGGCACTGTGCTACCAGAGCTCCCTCTTTTAATATTTAGCACCACATAATACTTGTCTTTTAAAGATGTTTCCTGCAGGCGATAGTCTCTGACCTATGACTCTGCCATTGTAATGCAAAAGCAGTAGACAGTAGGTAAACAAATAGTCATACTATGCTCCAATAAACCCTTAGGTACAAAAACAGGTGGCAGGTCAGATTTAGTCAACAAACCATTGTTTGTCATCTGCTCTAGGATTCAGAATGGCTTATTTTCCTAAGGGCAGAAAAAAAGACAATTATTACAATTGTTTTAGTCCCCTTTGCTCCAAATTATAATTCCTTAAGTAGTGGTTGCACAGAAATAGCATAATTCTGTTTATTACTCTAGTGGTTTGAAGAAGTTGAGGATTTTTTACTATCTTGTTGTGTTAATGCAATTTCATTCCTTTCCCTAAAGGTCTGAGCATATATTGAAAAGGCGGCTTCTAGTAGGTCAGCTATTTGACAAGCACAGGATTTAATTCTTTGGGTTTTAATTTAGCATTAACGAAACAAAACAAAAAACCTCTTTGCCATTGAGTCAATTCTGACTCATAGCAACCCCCATTGGTTTCCGAGGCTGTACACCTTTATGGAAATAGATTGTCCCATCTTCCTTCTACAGAGTGGCTGATGGGTTTGAACTGCTGAACTTCTGGTTAGCAGCCAAATGTCTTATTCCACCAGAGCTCCTAATTTAGCATTAATGTGGTGGTTAAAAGTTCAGGCTTTGGTGCCAGACTGCCTGGATTGAAATCCCTGCTCTGCCTTTTACTGGCTATGTAGTGCTAGACAAGTTACATAACCTCTTTGTCTTGATTTCCTCATCTGTTAAAGTGGGAGCAGTAATTGTATTTTCCTCATCACTTGCTGCGAGGATGTTAAATGATGTAATGGATGCAAAGTGTGCAGTGACTGTCATGTACTAAGTGCTCATGAAATGATGGGTCTTATTATTAATAAAGTTTTTTCAGTGTCAAAAGTTTGTTACAGAGTTTTGCTTATAGTATGCTTCTAGGAAACATACCATCTGGATTCTTTCCTCTAGTGTATTTTTATATTTTCCCCAGGAGATGACTTTACTAATTTTTGCTTATTAGTAAATGACACTAATCAGTGTTATAAATTGTACCTTGAGCAGGTAGATCTTCATGCTGCCTGGGGACAGCTGTATAGAATTGATGATAATGATAACTTAGGAGCAGTAAAGATAAGTCCAAGAGAGGATGCTATGGCACTAGTGCCTCCCTCTGAGGTTTGGCCTATCAGTCCATCTGCCAGGACTTGCTTTTCACTCAAAAATCTGCAAAGTTTCATCCTTCTATGTTTTCTGTCTCTGGCAGCTGCACCGGTGCTGTCACATCCCAAACAACTTCTTTTCTTAATATACACATCTGGCGTTGGCAGTTGGACTCACTTCATAAGAGCACATGATCATCACTCATTACAAGATTAAAAAGTACCCCATGGCATCATTGATGTTTTTTAACTTTGATCTTTTGCAGTTGTGATTCATCTCAGTTATAAAACTTCCCTTTAAAGGAACATAGCCGATGACTTATTAGAACCTTCATCTTAAGTAGTGTAAACATGAAAACGGTGCACATCTTTACAAAATGCCATTTATTTTCTTTGCCAGCTTATCATTTTAAGACATGACATCATAGTTAAGATCTCAAATTTGTATGTCTTGTGTTCAGGCAAGGCGTTTTGACCTTCTGTTGGCAAATTAGCTCTGAAGAACAACTGCCGTATGTTCACCAGCAGGAGAAGTCAGTGCAGCAGCAGCAGCACTAATGCATTGGATACCTAACCCTTTTAAACATCACTTTCTATTAGGATCCTTTGTTGCGCTTATGCACTTGGTTCCAACTCCTGTGTGGTTTAAAGAATTACTAGAGAAGGTAATAACTTAGTTAGAAATGTCATATGCTACAATCATGGTTCTGAGTTAGGGAAGAGGTTTGA